ATAATTGTAAATAATTAATAATATAATATAATATAGTTAATAATTATAATTGTAAATAATTAATAATATAATATAAGTAAAATATTTCTTGGCGCCAAGATATTATTCTAATATTGAACTGAAAATTATATTTACTTATTACTAATATACATTCTTCTATATCAAAAGGAAATTAAATAAAAATTTTATTTACATATACTACATTCTAATACATTTACGAAATCGTACAAGTGAACTACTTACCCTATTCCTCTCACTCCTCCCTGATTTTTGTGTTGGTCGTGTGGTTCCAAAGACGATAGCGGTATCAACTCTTGGACATGGCATATTCTCGTTCCTCCTCTTCAATTCTCGTAATGTCCGCACCGGCACAACCCTTGGCGATCGCACTGACACTCGTAAAAACTGTTCCCTGATTTGTCTTCTTTTTCTATTCTTATGGCGTCTTGCAGTACGTCTGAGAATTTTATCAGATTTGCAAATTTCCATCCACTTTCGAGATACTTGCGCGGCACACAACAAAGATTCTGGATCCAACTTGCGTAAAATCAACTGAGATACCTCCGGTGGAAGTTCGGAAAGAAAATCCACCTTGGCTGGTTCCATCAGTCCAATTGCACGAAGAAAGCACTTGAATATCTCCATGTTGCACCTATTAACACAGGAACACGAATAATGACGCTCTACAAAATTCGGGGTTTACATACCCCGCGTCACGGTTCGCTGCTCGTTCCGGAACGGTGACTCCGCCAATCACGTTCGAGTATTAATGCGTACCTATATCCTTGCGAATACATAGGACGCAGGTATGTACATATAATATTGTTCCTAGTGTATTGCTATTTATTTTACTATTTCTAAGGCATCTCGATGCAAAAATAAATAAATAAGTAATTTTTATAAATATTCACGAAATTAAAAATAGAGTGTCTGACGATGTAAATGTGAATTCGACATATCTTATTATCTACGTATTTGTAGTTTATCTATTTCTTGCACATACTTTTAAATTTTAAACAATTATGTAAATAATTATAAATTCGTAAAATTTGTTAAGAACGCAAATTTTAGCTTACTTTAAAATGGGTTATGAGTATGGGGTATAAAGACCCTTTAGTTAACATCAGTAGCGGAAGTCTTCGAGGCTCGGCTGAAGATGCGAGTACCACTTTCTTTGCCCCCCACCCCGCACTGGGTAACATGGGACATCTCTAGACATCTTCGAAGATTGTGTGATTGTGTGAAAGGATAACGTTGGACATCGTGTGATGCGTGTATATTAGATTTAATTTATTTTAGATTAATTCCCTTTAAGTTTCTTGTGTTCTTTTCTGTACGAATATACCATGTCTCATTCGGAACGTGAATTTTCTTAATCGTGAATTAGTTTCAAATTTTTATCCATCAATGCGAGATCTGCGCAGTAGGCAACTGCGACTCATGGTCAAACCTTCGTAGTGTTAGCTACGACATCTCTAGTGGAAATGTGAAAATTGACCTTTAGCTCCGATGGCCGGTATGGAATGTAAAATCAATTGCGCAGTTCCGCGTTCTCAAGTTCGACGGATCAATCGTGAAAACGAGAAAACGTGCACTGTTTTTACCGATGTATGTCGCCACTATGTCTATATTTACACAGAATTGTTTTGCTCCTTTTATTACGCATTCCGTATTATTGGATTTACGTTGGCAGATAAATATCATATCGTGCCAATTATCGTTATAACTTTATAGTTTATATATGATACGTAACAATGAAACAAAGGTAATGGATTTTGTGTCTGTACAATCATATTTAAAACAATTTGGTATGTATTTAGATGTACATAATACTTTTCACATTTAATCGTACAGTACATTTCTTTGAAAGAATTGTAACATATTTCAAACAATTCATAGCAAAACGCGTACTTGTCAAAGAAATACGAACATTTTTAACTTTTATGTTTTCGTATACGTAAGTACCATCTTAGAACAATCAGAAATATTTAATAGCGCTATTAATAATAACAACGGTGCAATTATTTAAATTTCAGTGTTAGTAAATTCTTCCTGGGGGAAGATATCAGTAAAGTCAAGTGCTTTGTAATTATACAATTTCCTGGAGTTTTCTAGTGTTATGTGAAATTTATCTCAAAGACGAGACACAAAGCTGAAATTACATTGCGTAAAATGAGGTTATGTAACGAAAATGAAAATTAAAAGCGGCCTTATTTCTTCCGTCGAGAAATGTGCAACGTAATAAACATTGTACGTTTCGCAAGACGTGTAAGTTTTTAATATAATTGCAAAATTAATATGAATTTGAATATGATCGATTTCTATGTATTCGCCAGATCTATCAAGATTTAGATAACGACAAGTAGACGGATCTCGACGATTTTTTTTAGCATGTCATTTGTCGGAACTCGTTGGCGTGGTTTGACCCGTTAGTCGATACTCCTTCAGTCGACACAGTGTTTTCGACAGCCGATCGTTCTGTCGCGAGAGCATCTCGATCTTCTCGCGATTTGAGACCAGCTGCTGCGTCATGTCCGCCACAGGATCATCCCTGGGCTTTAAAATGGTCCCGTCTTGAATCGTTTCAACGGAGCCACCATCATCACCGTTTTTGGTCCTCTCATTGTCTTTCTTATCCGAGATCTGCGATCGTAAAGATACGATCTCTCGTTGAAGTTTCTCGAGTTTTTCCTCATACTCTTCCTTCAACTGAAAAAAATATTTAATCTAAAAAAGTTTGTATTTTATAGGATATCTATAATTCACTCTGCCACTGTGTCGCAAAAGTTTGTATTCTATGAAAAAATGTCAAGATTCATCTTAATGTATTATTACATAGATTTTTGGAAAGGAGCATCGGATGATTTTAATGTTTATAACATTTAAAATTCGTGATTGATACAGTTTCTAAGGTTGATTAATAAATTTGCTGGCCAGAAATAGGAGGTGAACTCTTTGACTCGTCTAGCAACCTTAAGAAACTTGGTCGTAAACTTTATAGATGGCGAATTGACGAAAAGGAGCCGAAATTGGAACAGCTTTTGTCAACCTAGCAATAAACTTTCGGTCTTCGAAAGCCACAGGATAAATAAGGAAGTTTCCTATGGAAGATAGGCTACGTGTAGGAATTACAGTCAGCATTGTAAGTCAGTTTGCATTTTTCATACCTTATTACAATAGTCTACAAAATTATTAATGAAATTGAAGTTACTTATTTGAACACTGGTAATTAAATAAAGTTATTATCTGAATTTCTTTCGTATCGTTAAAATAATAAACCATATTCCCTGTGATTTATACAGCAACAGTTTTACAATTTAATACGTTGCCAAACAATTTCATATTATCAAAAGTACCTTTATACTTGTGATTTATATATATCATGATATCTTCCTGTGGTATTTAACACCGTTGCCTATAATATAATATATGTGAAGCTCGTAGTAAGGATGTCTTTCTGTCTCAGTTATATGTTATTCTTCGACGCATTCAGACAAGGCTGCTCGACGTGTGATCAACTCAGCTGTTGATTATGGCACGCGTCATCGGAGCTTAATTCGTACGGTAAAGGATTTATATGCTTCGAAGACTATTACACTTTAATACGATGTTAATTAAAAGAATTCTATTCACAACAGGCGGCGACACGGTGAAATTGACAATTAACCGTGGTTGATCGTAAATTCCACCGACTCGTATAAGTTGATTTAAGCGAGCAGCAAATTAATTCACGGGAGTTTAGTTGTCTATATAGTGAGCCGGCAGCAGCTTAAACAGCAAGCAATTTCTATCGTCTGTTGTATCATTAACGCGTCATACATAGCCAGCCAGTTAATTAATAACCGAACAGCTGTGGCAAATAGGCAAAACGGAAGCTTCGACGACTCTTGGAACAAATTAAGTGGTATAGGACAATGAAACGACATGGACCGTTAATTCTGGCAAAATTACCCGAATAACCTTCTTTCCTCTGCTCTCTCCTCGCGTAGCAATACATGCTGGTAATTATAGCACGATTTGAAAACTAAAATCTCAGAAGCTAATCGTATATTAATTGAAATAATCCTATTTCTAGCTGAATCATTTGAAATTCTCATTTGGAAATTAAATTTTATTTGATAATGTTGATTGCATTGAATATGGAAGAAATTGAATATGGCTTGGGACATGTAACGTATATCCAGCTTTTTAATTGCGCTTGGAGAAATTCTATCTGTTCTAAATTCTGCAGACATATGAATTCATTATCCAAGAGGCTCATCTGCTTTAGTTCCAAGTAATAAATTTCATAAAATTTTGTAACATACATACAGGTATCGAGTAACTTTTTTAAATAGGTACTATTAATCACCACTGGTACCATAACATTTCTTAACAAATTAATTCATTTTGCGTGTACCTAAGCATCACAATCATTTTCTAATATAATTTTCGTTTTATCCCCAAACGAGTATATTTAGCGTTATTCGTCGTCAACGAATACCATCTCCCGGTTCGATTTACCCAGAACAGGATGGGCAATCGTAATCGCACGTTTCACATGGATGCAAGACGGACTCACCGAATCGTTCACCTTCCTCGATTCGTCTAGAAGTGCTGTGGAACGTCGTTCTGTCTCAAGATACGCATCACGGGTGTCGTCGATTTCCTTTCGGAGTCCGATCACGGTCCTCTCCAGCTCCAATTTGCTCTCGGCCAACGTAACCGCCTGACTTTGCAAAATGTTATTTTCGCCGGCTGCAATGAATGTTGGAAAATAAGACTATTTTCGTCGTAGTATCCGGATCCGTTCGCTTCTGCGACGCCGCTTGTCAAATTTCCTTGGAAAATCCCGCGCCACGAAGGAAACGAGGTACGATCTCCCATGTTCCGATGCACAACACGACACTTCCTCTCGTGTCCCGATGCTTTTTTACACTTACCCAGCATCGACGTGTGTCTACGAATATCCTCCAGGGTTTCTTTCAACGTCTCCTTTTGTTCCTTCAGAGCCGAGTTGCTTCGCCTTTCTCCCTCGAGCTCTTCTTTCGCTGCAAATCGATGTTCGAATAAACGAAAGGACGCCGAAGTTATGTTTAGCTTTAATTAGCATCGCGTTGAATCGGTCACGAGAAGCGATCTTTGGCGAATAAACGAGGGGAAAGGTATAAGCAGCTATTCGTTTTCAACGGAATCGCTTGCATTTATAATTGTAAAATACGAAAATGAGGCTTATCGCGATAACAGAGTAGAGTTGATCTTACTACTGTTTGCCTGAAAATTCTCTGACGGGTTCTGGTTCAATATGGTTTCATATAGTGCGATGCGAATTTGCGAAACAAATCGATAGATACGTTACGCTCTGCCAGTGCTTCTTCGAAATTAAAACCTGGATCACTAACGGTAACTCTTTGACTTCAATGCTGCAGAAGCTTAATAAAGAAGCTTAATTTTGCACTACATTGCACACAACTTCGTTATCTGCCTTCCGGTGTAATAGGAGAGTTTATAATTAAAGAAGGGGAAAAGATAATCCTTGATTTAAATTCTCTTTATTACGATTTAATAAAACATGCCTTATCAACGTCTCTCTATGATTTCGTGCTAACTTCTCTCATTTTAAACAATTCTGTTAGCAACGTTAGCCTGTTATTCTACGTCATCAAGTTCAAAATTTAGTAAATCTATAATTATTGTTAAATACATTCGAATCATTTTCTTCCTCGATTATACAAGCGTTAGACGATGCTTTATATCTACACCTTCAGTTTACAGTTACGGAAGGGTCCACGTCCCTATCGCCTACTATTCGCTGGCCATTCATAAATCGTTCTCGATCGATTGCCAAATCGTATCCACCTGACGGCGGTGGCAAGGCAGAAAAATTTCTCGATCGAATTTCCCGCGGGTTGTCCGACCGCGATCACTCCCACACGTACATTCCAGGCAAATCAATGCAGCCCGTCGATTTGCTTCGCTTGAAACTACAATACCTGACAACCGTGGCATCGATCAGGTCTCAGAGCTGTTTAGAATTTAATCGATAGAGCGACTTCTGTTACACGGTAGTCAATTTCTGCTCGACACCTGTTAAAGGGATGCAAGGGAAAAAAGGAAATCACGGAAATACGGAGGACGGAAACAAAGAGAAGGAAGAAAAAGGGAAGAAGAATCGAGAAGCCATTGTCTGGGACCTGATGACAATTGGCAAGAGGAATACCCAGCCAGGAAACCTGCCATTTTCTAGTAGATCCTTCAGCCCCGTGATCTCGGACTGCAATGCGTCCGTTCGTTTTTCCTGCATCGTCAAGCTCGTTCGTAGCTCTCGAATCGCCTGGTCGTGATCTCGTCTGGCGGCCTGTATCCTCAAATTGCTCTCCTTTGCCATCCTCAGCGCCGTTTCGACGTCTGTTCCTATTCCCTTCGTCAGCCTGCTCATCACGGCCCATTGAGTCTTCTCGTAAATGTCGTTCCTGCATTCGTCTCTGGAACAATCGCGATCCGTGTGAACGAGCACAGGTAGCACGTATGTTTACTCGAAGACTGTGTTTCATCCGTGTAGAGCGCGAGGGAGTGCTCCTTGCACGTGGGTGCTCTGCTGCACCCTGAGAGACGCTGCGAGTCGGAAGCAGATTATTCGTCGCGGTAGAGAAAATTTCTCCACCGTCTTTGTCTTTTACAGGTGGACTTCTTTCTTTTCCTGTTTCTCTTTCTCCCTTTTCATTTATTTTTTCCACTTTTTCAGTAAACGTGAAAATGGGTGCTTGAAATGAACGTGGAAATGCGTCTACTGCTCTTGCTCCAGAGCGCCCAAAGCGGTTTATACTTATCTTATAAGAGGTACGTATAAAATACATATAATGTATACGGTTTGGTAAGATTACTTTTTTAATTGTTTTCACGGTAATTACTAACGATCGTGCTTAAATTTGAAGAAAAATTTATGCTTCATTCTTGAAGGCTAAATTGAGTAAAATTATTTGTTATGTCTGTAATACGGAATAACCGAGGAAGTCTTTTGTGACGTATTTACTGTCACACAGTGGGAAAACTGAAAAGGTAAATGTTCTCGATCATTGTTTCCCAATATTCATTCTCAAACTTTCGTTTCTGTATTTTACGTTTGTACTAATAAGATGTATGATATTGCACTCACTTTTCAGTGACGGCGACAGAAATTAATTCATTCTGGACGAAGACCTGCTCGATTGCATTTATCGCCTGAAGAATAGCGGCTCCAGCCAGCGTGCAGCTCTCACAATAATTCACGGAACTGCCAGCCTGAGAACTCTGGGATACTTTGCTCGCGAAGGAGTCCCGCCTCTCATCATTGCTACTCTTCACCTGTTGACGTGCTGCTATTTTTCGGGAGCTTCCTCCGATCGAACGGTAAGGAAATTTTTACGATCTGACAAACGCGATTTGAGAAACGTGTACATCTCCTTTCACTCTTTCTCTCCTCACGTTTGTTGTATTCCCTCTTAATCGCTTTCTCTTTTCGCAGTTTAATTTTTGCTTTTACCCCCTGTTATCCGCATAGATGTAAAATTATCACGTGAAAAGCGTTCCACGCGTGAACTGAGAAGGGATTAAATAGCGATGAAAGGAATTTGACGTGAATTTGCATAGAAAATCTCTTCGTGGAGAATATTACAGACTCTTTTGATTCTCTGATCTTTGAATCAAATATTTCAAATGCAGTGAAATTTTAATCGACAACTTAAGCGGATTTTTGTATATATTCTAAATTGCTTTTGAACACAAATGTAGTATAAAATTGTATGGACCCATGTGAATGAATCAAACGCTATTTGTGCGACTTATACGTTACGGTCATTCCTTTCATCGCTTCTCTACTTGGAAAATTTAGTTATATATCTTGCTTTAAATTAAAGAAAATAAAAATAAGAAAAGTAGAATTGAAATTCGTGTTCAGGCATCACGTCAAATCTCTATAATTTCTTCAATTTCTTATAGTTCTGAAAATTAATTAACATGGTGGTATAAACTTGACAGATTCTTCCGCGAAATCATTCCCATACACTGGTAAACGTACAGATTGTTAGGACGTCGAACGAGAGCTGCGTTTAAAAGAAAGTTTCTTAGGTAGGACAGTTCGAGATTTAATTTCTAGACCGCTGTTGAAGCGCTTTGTAATTAGCCTAACTACAATCGTGACAACTTCCACATGTAAAGGTAGGTTTACCAAAGTGGATTTCGAGTACTTTCATGGGATTTATTTTTTTGATTGTAGTTTCGCTTCCTGTTTTAAACAGTTTCGTATCTCTCTTTAGCACGCGAATTCTCTTTTCATCGTCCTAATGCATGCAACTTTTTAATGAAAACGAGTCCTTCAAAAATATTATATAAAATAATAATATTTCGTCTGAAAGCGATAGAAGATAAAAATTGTGTAAAACACGTGGATATTTAAATTATCTTTTCCTCCATCTTCAAAGGGCAGAATAAGCGTTTGGGATTCCCGATTGAAAAATTGCAAATTGCTTTGAAAATTTCATAAAGAACGACGTTTAAAGAACATCGTTATTCCAGCATTTTTTTCTTTCAGTGGAACTTTTCCCTGCTTTCTATGAAGAATCTGTTTTACAGTATTTATTTCACTAACCATATGACGAGATATCGAATCAGGTATTGTCTTCAGTCGATCCCAAATAAGCCGTAATAAACTGGCTAACGAAATATGGTTTGACCGAGTGACACAAGTCACTTCTTTGAAGAAATCTTCCACGAAGGGAAATTTATCCATGAATTCGACGATCATACGCAGTACGTAATGAATTCTGTAACAAAAATTTTTCCCAAAATTACGCTACGTTAATAATTCAAACGAAACAATTCTAAATAAAATGACACGGTTGAAATAACTTACATCTAGTGCAATTCTTAACAATTTACTTAACCCAATTTGACGCTTATTTTTCATATTCCACCACATGAAATATAGAAATTATTATTGTCACTTCTATGATTTCAGAGGTACACCCAAAAAGTTAACTTCTTCGTTCTACCATTCTTCCACATCCAAAAATCCTCAATGGGCCATGTAAATATCCAGATTCTAAATACACTGATCGACTTCCTCTACAAAATGAAGAAAGAAACAAAATATTCGAAATACTTGAATCCACTTCCTCCGAGAACAACCTCGGACGTTAAAACGAGAGCAATGAGTTGTTCAATTGGAAATGACCTCGCAGACTAACCAAGTGCAGAGAACGTTCCGTTGTGTTTCGTTCGAAAAGTTGCCTTCCTTTGACAATACTACGGTCACGAAACATTTGCACGCCTAATTGAATCGCGTGAATTGTGTGCACGCCAGAATGAAACTTGGACTGAACTCCTTTGCCTTTCATCGTGCCTTTCATCCTTCACGGAAGGACAGAAAAGGAAACGAATTTTCCTCTTCCACCTCGTTTCGCTGTCTCCTTCGTACTATAGCACCATATTTAATAATCCTCCACCTGATCGAACCGCTACTATACTAACTCAGGAACCGTGGAAGAATTTGCTACTGTTGTCAAGCCAAGGACCATTCATGAATTTGTCAGTGTATGCATTGTTGAATCGGGGTTCGTTAAACATGTCAAACATGTCAAGCCAACAAGACTCAAAATACGGTCAGAGGTTGAGATCGATTTCACTATGGCGATAAAATAGAATTTTCAAGAAACAATTCTCCCCATTTATTTGTATTGTAGCGACCATCACTCTCACCCTCGCCAATAGATGTCTTCCAACTTCAAGGAGGTTCGAGGACTTGCGAGAAAGTCCTCGGAAAACCTCCGCTTCCTATACATATAACTTCCCGACCTTTCAATAGTATCCCGGTTTAAATCAGAACCTGTTAAGTAGCTTTTCTGATGAGTCCACTAACAGGCCCAGAACGAAACGCATCCCTTCCTTTTCCTTTGTCCCTTCACACGCCACACGAGGATACCTGCGACCACCCTATTTCAACAATCATTAGGGAGGACCCCCTATAGTATAAAACCATAAAAGAACATAAATGGTCCGCTAATTTTTCTATGGATAGATTTTTATACTGGCATTCTGAGGTACCTGATCCCTAATTTATCCTAAATTCGCTATTGGAAAGCACTGTAGAGTCACGACCCATCGTAACCGTATGCCGATTTTATGCAAATGCAAAAGGTACGATCAAAAGGGTAGGAAATAAGAATAGAAAAAGTGCTAAACAACCTGTCGTAAGCCAACTCCAAGAGAAGAATATAGAATTCCCCTGCGGTCCCATCGTGCTCCTTCACAATTTCCATGGCATTTATGTCCTTCGCGGTTTTCGTCGGATATTTCCATGACAGATGTTCGATATCGCCGAGCCAGGAATATATCTCGCTCGAGACATGTACACACTCCCTGATATCCGCAATGATTGACGTTACCAGAAGCTTGTTCAGTTTCGGCATGATTCCGAAACGTTGCCCAACAATGCTACGCAAAGGTTAAGATCGTGGTACACAGTGAATGCCGTTCAAAGTCAGGGTGCCGTGACCGGTTCGATTAATATCTCGCTTATTGGAGATTAATCGATCATTTTGTTCTGTCTTCGCCGTGTCATCGACGTCGTTGTACGTAATTGCGAATATCGCGGTTAAATTCATTGATCCTTACCGGAAGATTTATGTAAAGGTATTGGAGACAGTGGGGTCATTGAATCGTCGATTGAATATCGAATTGAAGGTCGCTGATATTTCTAGTGACTTTAAATGGCAACGTTTGATTGGATTTAACCTTTTATGGAGTGAACTATGGAGTGTTTTCTTTCCAATTATCGGATTTTTTTCGTATCCATTACTAGGTTGATGGTTTTTTGAATAAGAATATTGGAAATAATTTGATATATAAAAAAATAATTGGAATTTCAGATGGAGTTAGTTAAAAATTTGTGGACTAGAGAGATAGATGACAAAATTTTCGTGTCAAAATTAGATGGGTCTTTTGTGAATTAAATAGAGCTGGAATAGTGATTGATCAGTTGTTATTTTATTATGGAATATAATTAATAAATCACAAACGAACGATGAAAATTTTAGTCGAAATTTGCTCCAAGTATACTAAATTCAGTGGTAGCCGAAAGGAATGGGTTTGCACGTGTTGTTTATTTACGTTTAATTAAGAATTAAAGAATGATATAAAATTCCTCGCGGCAAACACAAACCACATGAGATATACGTTATGCAAAAAGTTCGGTGATTCCGATTTGTAGATTCGCATCCGCGCAATACTCAAGGGAATATTCGTGAATACGTTCGCCATGGATTGTCCTTACTCCACGAGTTCGTTGCTTCGAATATAAAACTTTCAAAATTGCCTTTGTTATTACGCTCTCTGTTCCCGTGTTATTCTTATTACTATGCGCATAAACTTTCGACACGTTTGCTTTATTCCATTAAAATTTATTTCCTGAAAGAGAACAGGATACGGCGTTCCTCGAATTTGATTGAAA